CAGAAATAATCCTTGATAATCCATGATATGGCGTTTCATCACGGCAGTATTTAGTTTAGACAGTAGCTGCCGGGTCCCGCATGAGCTCAGACCCCTCCTTTTTTTTTCATCAATTTTTTTTAAAGCTTTATACCCAAATCAGCACTTTTGAAACAGGAAGTGAAATAGAGGGATATGAGGCATGGCTAGAATGGGTGATCTGTTTGGTATTTTGAGCAAAACACTTCATAGACATGTTTTTTATATATTTGTATATATCTGAGACCTATGCTATTGCCTAAAAATAGCATGATAGGTGCACTTTAAAGGGTGTGTCCCTCACTGAAGTCAATAGGATGCACTCAATCTGGGACACTAGTGTTGGATATTGGGTTTTTGGTCTACCCTACAAGATTAATGAAAATAGTAATGGAGTATTGATCAATTATAGTGAGTTTTTCCTTTAAAAGTGAGTCGACACAAGAAAATAATTTGTCAATATTTGCCATGTGACGTTTGAAAGATGGTAAAAGCACATCATATTTTTACCTCTTTAGGAAGGAGTGAAATATAGCTCCATTATACTGCATACCAAGGGCAAACTGCAGGATGCAATAAAGTAGAAAGCCTTTTTTCCTGACACTGAATTTAGTCATTCTGGGTCATTCCCGTGCTCCCTGGTGGTGTGCTGCAGAGAGTCACACTGCCCTCGGCATGTCCTTCGCATAGCTACACATGAACACATGTTTAATACATGAAGCTGCTGCACCTCTTCAACCGTTTCAGCTTTGCTAAATATTATTTGCTCGAGTAAATGCCACACCTTCTTATTAACCCTTTCTTTCTTTCTGGTTTGGTACGATTGGAATAAAATATGTTTAAAGTGACATTGAAGAAAAAGTGCAGAACCTAATTTTAGATTTAATTAAGTCCCGTTTTGGTCAGTAACCTTGATAGCATTGTGTCAAAACCTCCCGTGGTAGTTTCTCAATATAAAAATACTATCACGATATGTTGACTGTAAAAGTAGCGCAGAAAGTGATGAATTGAGAGAATGACTGCTGGAAATGTGAATGAATAAGGTTTAGAGAAATTGCCTCCCTAGCAGTCTGTGAGCCGGCTGACATGCTCTATTTCTGCAGGGGTTTTTAGGTTGCTCGAGTACGTTCTCATAAATAAACTAGAAGGGCACTTGGAGAGTGAAGACCTCCGCCATGTGCCATGCATCTGCCAATGTTAACGACAGCACAAGATAAACTGTGCATCTGAATCTGATTCGGATCCGCTCCAAAAACGTTACGGGTTCTTCTTTGGCTCGTGCTACACCCTTCCAACTATGCTTATAATAATTGTGCCCTCTGCTTACAACTGGGCAAATAAACCTAATCTAAAACATAAACCTCCTTAGAGGATGTTATTTATGAATGAAGAGATAAATACAAATAGTAGTAAGCTTTCTTAAATTGGAAACAGAGAACAGATGGTCGATTGCCCTGAAGATTATTGGAAGTTAAATATGTAATAGATAGATGGATGGATAGATGGATGGATAGATAGATGGAGGGATAGATGGATGGATGGATGGATGGATGGATGGATGGATGGATGGATGGATAGATGGATGGATGGATGGATAGATAGATAGATGGATGGATGGATGGATGGATGGATGGATGGATGGATGGATGGATGGATGGATGGATGGATAGATAGATGGATGGATGGATGGATGGATGGATAGATGGATGGATAGATGGATGGATAGATGGATGGATGGATGGATGGATGGATAGATAGATGGATGGAGGGATAGATAGATGGATGGATGGATGGATGGATGGATGGATAGATGGATGGATAGATGGATGGATAGATGGATGGAGGGATGGATGGATGGATAGATAGATGGATGGAGGGATAGATAGATGGATGGATGGATGGATGGATGGATAGATAGATAGATGGATGGAGGGATAGATAGATGGATGGATGGATGGATGGATGGATGGATGGATGGATGGATGGATGGATGGATGGATGGATGGATAAATAGATAGATGGTACTTTATTGATCCCAATTTTGGAAATGTTTGCGTTGCAGCAGAATAAAAAAAGGCAATATACATAAGAACAATTAAGACACTAGAAGTAAACAATCCAAAATATTTCTGAAGTAGAAATAAAATAGCATTAAAAAGTATAAAAATATATGACTCAATAAAAAAATATATTAAAAAAAAACAGCATTTCCAACAGTAGGTGGGCAAGGAATATCTACAATCACACTTATTTCGAGTTATATTTCAACCATTTCGAGTCGACCATCGAATTGTGTACAGGTCATATCTAAGTCTGAACAAGAGTGTCAATCTCTCCATGTCATGAATGTCTTTAATGATCTCAATCCAATGATCTACTGAAGGAGATTCGGCCTGTAACCACTTACGAGTAATAACTTTTTTTTGCCGCTACAGTAAATATTTTCAAAAGGTATTTATTACTCCCCGTCATTTCTTCTGGAAGGTCACTCCAAATATTATCCCAACCAGTGACATATTTCACTTTGTTTGGATTTTGAATGCAGTGTTCACAAAATCTGTCCGTGAAATAAAGTCACATTTAGATTTTCTCCTTGCACTGACTGCTGCTCCCAGAGAATCGTGCAGAGGAGGCGTTCTGCTGCTGCTGCACTGCATCATGGTTTGTCCTTGACAACAGTAGACAGAAACACCATCACTGCAGCAGACTGCTTGCTCTGCAGATGCAACCCCAGCCCAAAGAACAGCAGGGAAGTGAAGTGGCCTGTTGGCTGAGCTCCAGCACCCGGTTAATGTTTCTGATCTTCCAGCAAAAAGTGAGCAGAGGAATCTGCATCCATCTTTAGACTCGGTCAGGCGTGATGAGGATGAGACAACAGAAATCCCCAGCTGTGGCAGCTCTGTTATAAACTGCTGCCAAATAAAACTATTTACTATATGGGCTGCTGATTTATGGAGGTTATGGTTTGCTGCTTGTAGGGTAGGGGGGATAGATTATTACTAGTTACTAGGGTTTGAATGACTAGTTACATGCAACAAAATGTAATCTAATCTAAGCCAATAAGAACGTAATCATGACTTTCTGTTCCTTTTGGATTACCTCAATATCAATGCACTGCATAAAGAAACACAAGAGAGAATACATATTAATAAGGTGGCTTTTAAATAAGTGTATCACTGTATGTAAGTCAACAGAACAATGTGACCTTAGAAAAAAAGAAACCAAGATATTTAGGATCAAAAATGTGTTCTCGTACATTTTAGGCTAGGCTTGAAGAGTAGTATAGTTTACAGATGCTGTTTTAGTTTAAAAGAGGCCCTATTATGCTTTTGGGGGTTTTCCCTGAACTGTAGTGTGTCATTTAGGTTTTTGTGCATGTCTGAAAAGGCTAAAATCCTGAAGTTTTCCCCAGAGGGAGTTTCTCTAAAAGACTAAGACATCCACTGGTTACAGAATAACATTTCTTAAAGGGGACCTATCATGCTAAATGCACTTTTTGATGTCTTTTATACATAACTATGTGTCCCCGGTGTGTCAGGGAACTCACGCAGCGTCAGCAAATAAAACCCTTTCTCTTTTCCTCCGTACCCACATCTTTTAAAAACAGGGGTACAACGAGCGGATACAGATTTGCTGCCGATATGACGTCAAATCGGCGGCGGACCCACAGAGAGTTGCTATCAGAAACAATGCCTGACGTGTTTTGGACGTAATCTCGTCTTTGTTTACATTAGCAAGCCTCGCTAACACTCAGAGCTAACCTGTACTAGAGAGCACATGTGTTTAAAAAGCAGGAAATAAATAAACCCGGAAGAGAAAAAGCATTTGAGCTCCATACTGTTTCAGAAATAATCCTTGATGTGGTTAAGAACAGGATGGCGTTTTATCACAGCAGAATTTAACCTTATCTCCGGTAGAATTCTGATCAGGCATTTTTTGTTTTTTAAGCTAAGGACCCAAAATCCGCGCTTCTCTAACAGGGCTGCAAAAGAGGGGTATGAGCAGTATGAGGCATGGCTACAATGGGGGATCTGTTTGGTATTTTAAGCAAAAAACTTCACAGACATGTTTTGTATAGGTATGGCCCTACAATATATTTTTCCAATATAGCATGATAGGTCCACTTTAAATAAATCATTTAGCTTTGACAGCAAGTGGATGTTTTGATGATCACAAACATAATCAAAGACTGATAATAGTGGAGATTGCACGCTGCATTCATTTATCGAGGCTCAAGCTTGAATTGAGATGCGAGTCCATGTTCAATACAAAAAGGGATGGAGTACCGGTTCTGATCCAGCCGTCTTTGTGCAGCGTTCATATCTCACACACTGATCGATGGGCATCTCTGTTCAGCTGCATAATCTCTGTCATTCAGTCTCATCAGTTCTGTGAGGAAGCTGCTTGCTGCTGAAATGTGCTGTGCAATGCAGAGAATATGCTCTTACTGTACTGTGTATGTAAGCAGTATTCTGTCAGTAAGGGAAGACAGTTCTTGTATCATCATTATGTAATACGTGACTCCCAAAGCCTGAACTCACACAATTCGAACAAACCCTAACCCTCACCCTCTGAAAACAGTGACAAATATCTCCTTTACCCACTTGTAAAGCATAAGGCTGTCATTCATGTTTCAAATATTGTTTTGAATATTACTTTCCACATTCTTAATCAGCAACAATTGTGGTAAAGATAAGAGTCTTTGGAATATATTCAACATATGAATGGAGAGTGCGGTAGTGATATCGTGGTTTGAGATGTTTCAATAGAAATGTTGATATTTGCCGTCAAACTGAGTCTAAATAACCCTTGAATTGAATCTAATTTGACTACAGCTGTCATTTCAAAACCACCTTTCCTTTAAGAAGGATTGAACCGTGGGGTGTTATACCTTCACTTAATATAACATTGCTTTCACATTACAATCTCAGTGTTACCCATGTGTGTGTGTCTTGCACTAACTTTTGGTGTTTTTTTCACAGCTGCCGGCTCCACCACCACGACAGCAAAGACCTCCAGTCATGTGACCCGCTGCAGTGACAAGCAGAGGAACTACTGTGTGAACGGAGGGAAGTGCTTCACCCTTGAGATCATTCCCGGCAGCACAAAGTTTCTTTGCAGGTACGACAAGGACATTTAATATGTTTGAAGCATCTACTGTGATTTATGATATCTGCTCTATGTTGAGTAACGAAAACAGAATGTAACTTTGGAGAAAGGTGTTGGGCAACCTACATATATTTAACTTTCAACATAAAAAAATATGATGGAAACAAGATTTTATTATAAATAAACAATTTAACATAAGAAATAAGATACATTAGTAGTATACAAGGAGTTAATTGGTTTATTATTTCTTAATTCTTATTGAAATAATTGTTGAGCTACAGCAAAGATGGCTGAATAACAACCAGTGACATCCTTCCAACACCCTTCATGTGTCTGAACACGCACATAGCTTAGCTATAAGCTTAGCTTATCAAGCCACCTGCTCCAAATAAATAGCGAGTAGGAGTTATTTGCTACTGCTGGGTCCAAACTAAAAGGCAAACTATTAAACACAACAGAACATGGTTGTATTGTTGCAATCATTTTCAGTTTGTATTCAGTGGCTGGCACACAGACATACAAACAGTCCAAAGATAAATGTTCAGGCAAACCTAGAGGCTACCCAAAAAATGGTTGAGTGATTTGGTTCGGACCAGTGGAAATTCTGTGTGTTGAATGCAAATCTACAAGCTTAGAGATCCACAAAAGCCTTTTTGATTCACTAATAAAAACTGTATTCACGATTCTTTGGAAAGTAAATGCCAGAACATATTTACAAATTATTTTCAGTTACTTGTAAATTCCCTTTAAGTTTGAAATGTGTTAATGTATTTGGAAATATTTGCAAAATTCTTTTGAGTTATCATTTTTTGCAATATTTTTGTGGAAGGGGTTTTCCAATGTTCAGATTTCCACATGGAACGTTGATCTGTTCAAACAATTACAATGGAGAGATTCCAAAAGGAGGTCATGGTCTAATAATGAAACCATTGGAACCACATCGTCTGCAGAAAGGGACGCAATTCCCCAAACTGCACACTCTGACATCATTGGCTGCATCCTGCGGGACACAACCTGGGCCCTGCACCACTTCCCCATCGGGAGTCGATTAAAGGTCAACTGAAAGCCAACTGAAAGTCCTTATCCATAGACTTCCTGAACTGCGACTCACGTAGTATCTTCTCGTACCTCTCTGGTTCTTCAGGAGACCCTTGGCCTTCTGTAGCCCAAAAGGCCCCCTTTGTTCTTAGTCCGCCAACACTGGCAATGGAGGTGAGGGTTTGAACTAGATTCCCTGACTCCAATCTCCCCTGGGATGCTTCTTGTAACTCTTCTGGACGTGGGAAGTTCTGTTCCTCTCTTCGCCTGAATGTCCAAGCCATACTGCAGCAGATCTGATTATATGATCAGTCGTTGACCCCCAATGACAAACTTCCCAATGACCCACCCTTGCCGGTTTCTCCATAGTTGCCTCTCAAGTCCCCAGAATGTATCCTGTTAACGTAGCCATGCAAAGACTTGAAGATAAGCAAGTACTCTGATCTGCTGTTTGGTACATAAGCTCAAACAACTGTAAGATACTCCCATGTGACCCTCTTGACCACAGCGGTGCTCAGATGGGGGCCAACAAGTATTCCTCTCACCCTGAGCAACTCTGGAAAGGCGATAGTCAAACCCCTCCCCAGGCGTTTGTTTCACAACCCAACTGTTTTCATTCCCATTTGTAATTGCTGGTGTTTCGACCCTGTCATGTCTAGGTGAGCCGAACTGAATCTAGTTGGTTCCGCTTCACCTCCAACACTAAATACAATCCTTTTCCTTCCAGAGAGGCGACCTTCCACAACCCTAAACCGTCTGAGATGCTAAGTCAGTTCGCCTAGGACAATTAGCTTTGTACCGTCAGCCAAGAATTACATTTATATTGGGCGATTCTGCAGCTCGTAATTTAGCTTTAATACTATCATTCAGTGCGAATGTAGGAAAGCAAGTGTGCTCTTTGGCGAGCTGGAAAGTACATCAATGAATTGGAGTCTGGGTGGTGGGTGTAGCACATCTGAGTCCAGCATGAAACTAGGAGGTTGTGTCTGGTCAAAAACAAACCCACAATAGTTCCCTTTACCTGCAATTTTACACTTTACACACCCTTTTACTCGCTAGTGAAAAAGAGCAGCCAGCTAATGCTAACCCTAACCTTTTCTGGCCCATTCGAGGGATCTAAAGATTGGGAGGCGAGGCAGGGCACATTATTATTCATCTTAAACATACCATAGAGAAGGAGATATTGTAGAGAATTTTAGAGCCATTGGATTTGACATTAAAGAACATTAAATCAACAATAAAGGAAACAGGGTTGCATTCTGGGTCCTCCCATGTTTTGTGACTGTCCACCGGATGTCTCTTTGTTTGTCTATGTCTTCCCATGTCTTGTGTGTAACTTTCAGTACTATTTATTTTTCCTTTCTACCCATCAACCAGGTGCTTGGCGGGATTCACTGGGCACCGATGTGAACAAGCTGTGCTTAAGAAAGTCTCAGACCCAAAACGTATGTGAACCCAACTGTATTCAATCCCACATGTCATTGCTGGTGTTTCACCCCCCCCCCGTCATGTTTTCTCCAAGAAACTGTGGAGAAATCCATGTTTTCCCTAAATAAAGGGACTCAGTTCCAATTTTATAAGTTCAACATTCAAGGGTGAGCCCTCCAGAAAGGCTTGAGCACACTCTCCTGTTGAGTAGTGCGCTGAAATTTGCATGTACTTCACATCTCATCACACCCCATTCATTCAGTTTTCATTTCTACTTCTACTCCCTGCATCAGAACCTTATCCCAATGGTCCCATGCTAGACGGACCACTATGTGACTGGTGAAGCAGGGAGGATTTGTATCAAACACACATTTTGTACATACAGGAGACCCAAGGATTCACTAGTGAGGCAGCTAGCTCCAAATCACTAGTAGAGACATTACTGGAAGCCATCAATACTCTTTGTAATAGCCATGTTGTATGACTTGACATTTGGATGGGGTCATACTGTACTATAACACCCCTTATTTAGGATTATGTTAAAGCAAGAATAGGATTGTCCTAATACGTACATGCAAATTTCAGTTCGCTTCTACAACAGTGATCAAACCTATAGAGTTTGATTGGAGGAATTAAAGAGCTGTTTCTGATATAATCACCCTCAACTGAAGACCTCAATTCGATGTGCTTGTGTATGAAGGTCTGAGAATATGAATCCCTCCATAGCTGGATATATCGGTCTATATACTGTATGGCCCTTTCTGTCAACACCAGTAATGACTGTTGTGGGTTTTGCACAGCTCTTGTATAAACTAACTCCTTCTCTCTTTGTCTGTTTCTTGTGTTTCCTGCTCAGGTGTCCAAATGAATTTACTGGTGATCGCTGCCAAAACTATGTAATGGCCAGCTTTTACAGTATGTCTATATCCTTTTCTATTTTACCTTGGATTGAAGCATGCTCAGTTAACAGTGTTTGTGTACCTGTGGACCCGTTCCTTAGATGTGTGATTTATGCAGCCCGTAATGTTCTGTGTTTTTCTCCGTTAAAGCTGCATGTGGTGTTGTAGAGATTACATTAATTGTATGTCTATTTCAAATGACTGAACAAGTTTGAGATATACATTTTAAAACTGGACGTCCTAATCCTAACTGTGTCTTGTAGGTCCATTTTACTTTGGTGAACAAGTAGGATGAACATGGTTACAAACACTATTCATTTGTATATTTTTTAGCTACCAGACCACATTTTTTCATTTGTTCTAACACACATACAAACACACACACAAAATAGGACAAAGACGCAACATAGCTGAACTTGTTCTAACCTGCCAGTTAGACAATCAGAGGTATCAATGCAATATTTGACATTAAAATACAACTGCCTGAGAAGCTATTGCATGCAGACAATGACACTGGTATTGTAGTAGATGTAACCCTCTAACCCTAACCCTCTTCAAATCAAAGTTCCCTCTACATTTAGCATATTTGATCTTTTTATCTTTACTTACTTTACCTTAAGCAGAGGATGGTTTATTGGGCTGACAATGACTGAACAGCTTGACCCTAACCCCTTGAGGTGAATCTGGGTGTGTAATGTGGATGCACCAGTTTCCATGCTGTTAAATAATCTTTTGACATTAGGTACTTCGATAACAAGTGGTTAGTTGCAGTTTTTGTTATTTGGCAAGTTCAGTGAGTATTGGGCTGTTACCAGAGTCCAATACAGTGTTAGTGGTCAAGCAGTCTCATAGATGAAGTTCTGATATCTTGACCTGTGTCATTTTCCTCAATAGATTTACCAGGGAAGTCTAGAATAAGATTGTTAGACATAATAGTTAAGCCAACATTATGAATCTCATAGGGTCTCCTAGTAAGCACTTTGGAAGATGTGTACTTTGATGAACCAGATCATTTAGTTTTACTTGAATTTTTATGTTGAATAGTTTCGCCTTGTTTGGTATTGTGTGGTCTCTTTGTCCACATGTACTTTTAGGATGCATGTCTCCCATTGCACAATCCTCAAAGAGCAATATGGTCATGTGAAAAGCTGTAGACTAGATCAACAGTACAGTAGATACTATAATACCCTATTTCTTTGCACAACCATAACTCCTACAGGCCCCAACATAAAATACCTACTTGTGGGAGTGACAGTCTGAGCAAGGAATTCATTGTATGTAGCACAGTTGGTGATGCCATACCAGCTATGATTGTTATATAAAGTCTGTTTCATCAACTAATGAGACAATGATTGTCTGTTGCAATAACCAACACAACACAAAAGGCAATTGGTAATGTGTATGAAGCCGGTAAGGTAGGAAAATAGGCAAGATAGCCCTCCAGTGGATCCAACAGAATTGTCTGTGGCAAGGCTAAGCACAGGATAAAGTAACAATACATCCTGTGGAAATTAGGTAGCACATATTGATGAGAATACCAACTAAAATCGATATGGCCAATGGCAGGCTTATAGCTGCAGTCTGCATCCAGTGAATCAGAATATTATCCTGCTGGAGACATAGATATTGACCTTTGGGCTTCCTGTTAGGTTTGTGGGAGGCAGGATCTTTAAAAGCAGGTCAGAAATTGGCAAATTGGCTGAGGTTTATCTCCAGTTGGCACTTAGCATCGCTTTGACCTTTGTCCTGCTAGGATGTTCCCTGACCCCGGGGTCAAGTCAACAGGAAAAGTAGGGGAGGTTTGCTAAATTCTCTAGGGGGGCCTGTGGGTCTGATTACTACAGATGGTCTTCTTATGAGCAGTTTCAGTTGTTTGTTTAAGAGATATATATTGATGGTATCTGGCTCTACTGTGGTTGAATGCACTTGCTCTTTGGACAAAATGCTTTTTAATGTCCCACAGATAGTAGATGGATGATGGGAAATCAGGTTAACGTGTCTTTTGTGGATCTGGAAAAGTCCTTTGCACTTGACTGTGTTCTTAATGCAAGCGTTACAGTAAATGTACATGCATGTGTTACCTGTGCAATCCAAACAAGAACTGAATTTCAGTTTTTGTCTTTGAGTGCAATTCAGTTCATGTCACCAAAAGCTCATCAAAGTAATAGTTCACCTTATGTGTGCCGTGTTTGTGTATTCCCACAGCAATCTAAGCAATGTAGCCCCCAACTATTTTGGCGTTAAATAGAGAGGCACATACCACAAGCTGTAAGGAACACCTTTGAGAAAAGTCTGAATAATGGTGATGTTTAGGTGTTTCAAGCTGCTTAATGTTTAAGATTTGAGCTGCTAAATGTTTATTCTAGGTATTTCTACAGTGTATATTGTGTGTGTAATGACTGTGTAACCCTGATCACTCGAGCTAAATCTGATTACATCTCTTTTACCTTCACACCACATTTGTGTAAAAAACTTCAAACCATTCAAATACTATATCATCTGAAAAATCAAATTTTCTTTTTTTTTGTCACCTTTCCGCACTGACAGAACATCTTGGGATTGATTTTATGGGTATGGATTATTCCTTCCTCCTAGTTTGCAGATGTAAGCTTAACCCCCTCTACTCAAGCTAGTTTCTCTTGAAGGGGTCATACAGCCTTGACCATCAGCACAAATAGGATACCACATATTAGAGCAATCAAAAAATGTCTGACAAAGCACTGTGATGCATCTGCAAGCTATCATTTGGATGTAAAAAAAAACATGCGATTCAGTGAAACGGTCCAATGACTGCTGATGTATTTGAGTACAAGATGCCGAAGAGGCTGTACATTTCTGACGCTGTATGTCCAAACCCCTTCAGCTCCCCCTCCTGCATTTTCTGTTGCAACTAGTGTTCAGCATGAGACAATAGAGCAGCATCACTGTCCTCCTACCTCCATCCATCTCTTTCCATCTGCCTTCCTGTTTCCACCTCCACCACATGTATGTTTCCTACTGTTCCCTACAGCGCCTCTTCATTATAGCAGCTTTGTAGTCTCATCACATAAGGCCAGGGTCCTCTTATATCTGCTGAATGGTTTAAACATATCTCTGAAACACTGATATTCTATAAATGAGCATTTCGTTATGAGATTACACAAGTAAATGTAAAAATAAATAGGCTATATTATGTACAGTGTGTTTGTCATGTACCTTCATATTATTCTGCTAATATACAGTTGGAAAAAAGGAGATTTTTGAGCTTCTGATTTGCAAAAAAAGATCGTAAAACATGGGAAAGTTGTTCAATATTACACCCCCATACCTGCAAAATTGTTAATTAATTCTGCAGGTGTTAGTGTTCAGGCTTAGAGCTCCTTGGTGAACAATGTAGGACACTTCTAGAACAAATACAAGTAAAGGGAAACAGGCCAATGGATGGGAGTTCTCTCTGTTATAGATATTTCAACTTCTTGAGTGGTCATCCAAGAAATTATGTTTTATGAAATACAGAAAAGCAAGCACTGCTATAGGCTAAATCAGGACAATGCATTGGTTGGGCTTATATTTTTATATTAAAGGGACACAGCTTTTGGGAACAGTTGGATAATGTTTTCTATAAGATATAAGAAGTATCAACACTGGGAAATAACCCTGATGACATCCCTATGAAGTCAGGTGTGTTGAGATGCATTATGGGAAGTGAAGGATCCAGTGTTTTTGGGGCTCAGACTAAAACGTAGGATATCTAGGCCTCCGCTGCTTCAAATTTGACCCTCAAAACCGTCTCTCCCTTAGTGCCTTGCAATACTAAATCACTTCCACTTTAAATAGATAATGCTTTGTCCATCAGACAGACTTATTCTGAAGTAGCTGTCATTCATAAATACCATGTTTGGCTGCTTTGAAAGGTTATTGAATGACGGCCACTCTGCCCAGCTCCAATCCTGTCAATAATAATAGCAAATAACTCCAAAAACAACAATTCGTTTGGACCGTTGTTTTCTATTTGTTCCTTTTAGTTTGGGGTTATGGCTGGAATGTGTGTGTGTGTGTGTGTGTGTGTGCGTGCGTGCGTGCGTGTGTGTGTGTGTGTTTTGTACACCTGAAGTTTTAAGATTTGGACTTTCCTCTTTTTCAGAAACGGAGGAGCTGTATCAGAAACGCATTATAACAATAACAGGGATCTGCATTGCACTCCTAGTCGTTGGAATCATGTGTGTGGTTGCCTACTGCAAAACAAAGTAATTCATGTCACATTTTCATTTTTTCACTAATGAATTATGCTGCATTCACACGGATTCAGGCAGGAGGTAGAACGTAGGTGGTCAACACTTTTTAAATTGCATAGGAAAAACCAAATAAATCAGACAAAATGGCAAGAGGGCAAACAAAGGATATGTTGTTATGGTTATAATTGCAGTATATTAATTAAATACTTGTGTGTCTATCGTTTATTTAATTATTCTTGTAATAACCCGGTAGGATTTCAAGCTCTGATCATATATTAGTGTTGTACCACTCAAATTATTTTCTTGTCCAGTTTTGTGAGAGTTAAGTAAGTTTTTTTATCTTCAAAAAGGACAAATTATCTTTTCTCTTTGGGCAGAGTGGTGCAGTAATGAGTCCTGAAACCCCGGAAAAGACTTAGTATTTGACCACTTCTGGTTCCCTTGTCTCGAAGCCAATGGTTTAATGAACGTGTTTTTGGTTAGATACCTGAAATAAGATCTGTGGTTAACAAAAGCTGAAGAAATGTTCCCAGTAAATAACCCACTGGTGAATGTCTGAAGCTTCTATGTGTCATCAAAACAGCGTTTACTAACGTGTGACTAAATAAACTACTAAACGTCAACATGCTGAACATTAGCCACTTTTAGCTTAGCGTTGATACAGTTTGTTTATAGCCTAACGTTAGCTTTCTATTTCTGCCAATTCAATTTATGCTACAAAAGTTAGCCAAACATTAGCCGCCATTAGCTTAGCGATGGTAATGCGCAACCGTGATGTCGTTCGGTATTAGCCTAGCATTAGCTTTTTAGTTAGCATTCGCACTTCGAAAACATCCCAAAGTGGGGTTAATATGTGGAGATTATCCTTCTGAACAAAACGTGTGTTCGCTACAAAGCTTATTTTCTGCAATAAACCGAAATCACAAGTGGAAATCCCATTGCTTTTTGTCGAAGGAGCCTTTGAGATGCTATCTTCCGGGTCTACCTACTAAAATATGTCATCACTGCACCACTCTGTGCCGACTGACGCTATTCCTTACCTAATCTTACTGTCCTCTTCTCGTCCACTAAACATAATATCCTGTTTGCTGTCTACCAACCGCCTGAATCCCTGTAAATGCAGCATTAAAGGCACACTTTATGATTTTATTATTGGCACAATAGTTTCCAAAAATCGACGAATCCCCTCAACTAAACCGCTTTACAACCCCCTTTGTTTTTTTTACAACCAGGAAGCGGAGGAAGGAGCTCCACGACCGTGTGAGGCAGAGTCTGAGGAAAAAGAGAAACAACAATAGCAATAAAGGTGTCGATCCCAACATGGCAAGTTCAGCCAGAGGAGGTCCGACTTCTATCTTGCCTCTTCAGGATTTGCAGCTCATCAATGTAGGCTTTTATTTGTTGGTTTCAAGAGAAAAAGGACTCAAAACATGTGAAATCTGTCAATGCACGTCACCTGACAATCTGTTTTCTGCTCCTTTTGATAGCAAAGTAAAGGGATGACTGCGCAGCATGCAGCCGAGGGGGAAACAGAAACTACCTTCCCCACAAGCCAAAACGCTTTATCTGCGCATGAACCCACCACATTCACCAACATCTCTAGCCAAAGGTAAGGCAGAATTATCAATATATCGTCCGTTTTGATAGATGCAATATTAGGTTTTAATTAGGCGACACATTGAAAAGCCACAAACCCCGGTTCCAGGCAGTTTCCATGCTTCATTTTGCGATTTCTTTTCCTGATGCACCACTGTTTTGGACATGTCTCTGGTGGTAAAAACAACTGGAAATATGCCTTTACAAATAGAAAGTGAGTATCCGCAATCTCTTAGAAGTAATGGCAATACAATTTAAAATAATTGATCATCTCCTGACGTGAATGAGAGCTTAGTAGGCATAGAGAGGCGAAGTCCCTCCCTTTCCGGTGGACCTCCATGTGACCTTATTTCGGAAAAAGTATGTATTGAAGTCAATGGAGAGAGAAAGATTATCTTTCGATCCCGTTTGAATTGTGCCACGAATTACACATATGATGTTTGTCAATTTAAAAGATAATTTTGCAAGTCAAAAAAATTAAAATGTAAGTAACACTTTTTTTGTGTGAAACCGCTCAATGAACTACATCTCCCGTCTCGCACCACACACCAAGATGGCCGTCACGTTGGCACATTTCACTTCTTTCTTTCAGAATGAGGCGGAAAGTATTAAAAGAGGTGAAAATCACTCCAAGTCTGGGCATGTTGAGAGCTGTACATACACACAAGGGGAGTTAGTCGGTTCCGTAAGAGCCAGCATGCGGGACCGGGATTCTGGGATTTGTAGTCTTTCTAGTTGCGTATTTTTCATAGTCTTATATTTCAACAGTTTTACGACAAACTGTGACTTTTTTGACATGGAAATTATTTTTTAAGATTGACAAACATCATGTGTGTAATTCATGGCACAATTCAAACGGGATCGAGAGATAATCTTTCTCTCCCCATTGACTTCAATACATACTTTTTCCGAAATAAGGTCCCATGGGTCGGAAGTAGATGGGCGGGACTTCGCACTTCGCCTACAATGATTTATGCTGTACAAGAAATAGTATAATGACACAAACAGCAACAATTAAAAAAACATACAAGTCAGATAAGTGTGAATGTTTACTGGTGAACCTATTTGTCCTCAATATATTGTATTAAGGTGTTTATGTCCTGCAGGAGGTTAATGTGTGTCAGATGTGTGCTACAGAAACTGAATGCTTGATGCAAGCTCTTGTTTAATGTCTTCGTTTTTAAATGTCTGAGACTTTGTCCTCTGTTCTGGACGGTTCCTGTGAGGCTACACTTATTCAAAAGAAGTCTTTACTGGTAAATTCAGATGTAGATTGTAGTTGGTTGGGCACTGTGACATCTGAGCTGCAGTGAAGGATGCTGGGAAAATGTCTGTCATGCTCCTGATTGATACTTACAGGAAACTGTGGTTCAACAATAAAACAGAAACAATATTAATACACAGAGGGAGGAAGCATTAAACAATAGAGTGCCACAGTGACGCGTCCTAAAACCCGCAAGTAAGTTAGCGTTTTACCACTTCCGGTTCCTTCGCCAAAAAGCAATGCAATTTCTCCATAGGATTTTGGAAAACAGCTGGAAATAAGGTCTGTGGTTGAGACACATTGAAGAGACGGATCACGTTTTGTTCTAGGACATTAAATCCATCAGCAGTGACCCCACTGGTGATTTCTGAAGAGTTGACGTGTCTGAAAAACGATGGTTGTTAACAAGTGGCTGAATAGGACTGGAGGCCGTTGTACGTCATTACACCGAACACGTAAACACTCCCGCTAAGTTTGTTTGCCCTGTTCTGCTTGAAAGCAAGTACCTGTCTCCTGCAAACTGTTCAAACAAACGCTTCAACTTGTTCCATTTTGAATCTGTATGTTTGAATATGGATCTTAAGTTGGCGTGACGTTGAAGCAGCTGTAGTTCCTTTATAGCATAACGTTAGCATTTTGCTTCTGGCGATTAGATTTACGATTAGAAAATTATAAAAGTAGGGTAGACATGTGGATATTATCCGGCTGAACAAAACGTGATCTGTCTCTTCAATGTGTCTCAACCACAGACCTTATTTCCAGCTATTTTCCAAAATCCTATGGAGAAATTGCATTGCGTTTTTGTCCAAGGAACCGGAAGGAGTTTACTTCCGGGTTTTAGGACGCGTCACTGTGGCACTCTATACTACTGCTTAAATAAATAATACCAGATCCTATTTCCCTATAACTTCACATAGATGGTAAACGACTAATTAGCAGATCACTTGCATTTAAGAAAAATACATAAACACTCGCACAAAACTCTGCCAGTGTAGACATAATGACCATGATCAGAGTGACATTTAACAGATAAGCATAACAATTACAAACATTAGCATCAGGCCAGCAGACTTTAAGCTAACACCCACTTGATTGTAAGGCCAAAATGTCAAATGTATTAATATCCTGCACACATCAAGCAAGATCTCTTCTGTCTCTTATTAGCTGAGGCAGTCGAAAAATAGTACAGTATATGCTGATTTGGTTAAGGTCACCCTGACACACCACAGGCATTTCATCAGCTGAGTTTTGCTTTGGAAAGGAAAATGACATTGAACCGTTTTCAGACTCAGATTCAAAGATTCAAAGATTCAAATGTTTCATTGTCATATGCAGATAAGCTACAGTGTAGAAATGGCAATGACAATGTTATGTCCCGAGCTCCTCCAGTCTATATATACGTAAATAGAATATGATACAAGAACAGAATTTAAGATTACATATGGTACAGTAAAATGAAATTAAATCCGGTTTATTACAGTGATAACTATTTAGATAAATAAGTAAATTGCAAGATGACAAGCTTCTGGAGGCACTTAACAGAGCTCAGGTGTTTAGCAGTCTTCTGGCCTGTGGGATGAAACTGTCCCTGAGTCTGGTGGTGTTAGTCCTGATGCTGCGGTACCGCCTGCCAGTACAGCTTAGTTCTGTCACAGCAAAACTCCAATGAGACGTTTGCTCCAACATTGCTTCAAAATGCACAGAACTGTTTAGTTTATTTGTTTATAGTGTCGTGGACAGTCCCCATTGATCAACTGTCACAAAAAACAGTAAATGGGGCAGCTTTAGCCAACATTGCTAATTTCCAGCTGTTGTCCCCGGCCAGATGATAATAGACACCAATCCAACAGCATTACTTATGAAGAAAGGATGAAAGACAAGTAGATAGAGGCGATGGAATCACCTCTTACCATCGCTTATAGGCATAGTTAATCTCTAACTGAAACATAAATAAGATTTTTTATGATTTAATAGGATAACAATGCTGTCTCATCCATGGATGAATTAAAAACAAAATCATATCAAATGCCTTTTGGGTCCCATTTCTTGATTTCCACATTTTGAATTCGATACTTATGATATCAAATCTGCTGCGTCACTTTGAAATCATGCAGACCAACTTGAAGATAAAATACGAAAGTGAAAGGCTCGGCTACACAAACCTGACCCACAATATATTAATGTCGTGGTCTAAAGGCCTGTCTGAAAGCTGTCTCCATGTAAACGTCCCCTCTGTCTCCCCAGCTGGAGTAATGACTGGAGCAACAGTGTTCAGTCTGACACTGAGTCTGTCTCGGTGATGTCATTGGCGGAGACTAGCCACCGAGCGCAGGGCACCCGGGGGCGTCTGTATGCCACCGCTGGCAGCAGAGACTTAAGTGCTCATCCAAAGAAGGGCCGAGACAGACCAAACTCCGACAGGGACTTGCCTTAATGACAAGGTAATTGGTTAATAAATTCTAACTCTGCGTCACAAACAGGAAACCAAGAGGCACATAAAACGTACATAGAGATAATCAGAGGTGGGAGAAGTACTCAGATCTTGTTCTTGAGTAAAAGTAGAATTACTCAGATCTTGCACTTAAGTAAAAGTAGAAGTACTCAGATCTTGTACTTGAGTAAAAGTAGAAGTACTCAGATCTTGTACTTGAGTAAAAGTAGAAGTACTCAGATCTTGTACTTGAGTAAAAGTAGAAGTACTCAGATCTTGCACTTAAGTAAAAGTAGAAGTACTCAGATCTTGTACTTGAGTAAAAGTAGAAGTACTCAGATCTTGTACTTGAGTAAAGTAGAAGTACTCAGATGTTGTACTTGAGTAAAAGTAGAAGTACTCAGATCTTGTACTTGAGTAAAAGTAGAAGTACCAGAGTGTAGGAATACTCTGTTACAGTAAAAGTCCTGCATTCAAAATGTTCCTCAAGTAAAAGTAGAAAAGTATTCTCATCAAAATATAGTGAAAGTAGCGACAGTAAAAGTAGTCATTGTGCAGATTGGTCCATTTCAGAATAATATATATGATATGTTTTATAATGATTGATCATGAAAGTGTTCTCAAAGCTGGTAAAGGTGCAGCTAGTTTGAATGACTTTGTATACTGCAGGGTAGCTTGTGAATTTACTCCAGGTGGAACTAAGTCTGATTTAACACTTGATTATATTTCACATCATTCATCCACATCTGTAAAGTAACTAAAGGTATTAAATAAATGTAGTGGAGTAAAAGTACACCATTTACATCTGAACTGTAGTGGAGTAGCATAGTAGCATAACATGGAAATACTCAAGTAAAGTACAAGTATCTCAAAATTGGACTTAAGTACAGAACTTGAGTAAATGTACTTAGTTACTTCCCACCTCTGGAGACAACAAGACGCATTCAGAAGGAACACATGCATCAAATATAAATAAAGTAGCCTAGTATACACAGTTAATCCACAGCCTTTTCTAAAAACATACATATTTAACCCTTGTGTTGTCTGAACTTTTTGTCCTCCTATTTATAAAGCAGTTTAAATAATCACCAAACCTTTTAAAGCAACTTTATTCTTACTTATTACCACAAGTTGTACTCCTTTTTTGGAAATGTACGATACGATACGATACGATACGATAATACTGTATTGGTCAGATCAAGTCTGAAACTTGCATCACAGTATGTATGGTCAAAAAAACAAATTTACACAAAATCAAACCTAATTTCTGAGTTAAAAAAGGAAAAAATGATGAATAATTTTACTAAATTGACCCCAG